AGGAATGTTGACCTCCTTACACAAAAAGACAATCGTGCTCCCGATTCTGGACCTCCTGCAGATGAGGAAACCCGGGGATCAGCGTTCCTTGTTCAGGTATGACCTTCGATGCTGGGAACACTGGTCTGCCTACACGCATGAGTGGTGCGGAATGTAGTATTTGGTACCGATAGAAAATTCGTGATGAACTGTTGCAATCATGCATGATGCAAGAGGATAAATTAAACCTGGGATTCCTTATCAAAGAAAAAAATTTGAAATGTGGTCTAATATTGGCATGTGGTCACATTCATTTATTTGATAACCTGCTTCATTGGTATGATTTATTGAGATGTTTAGCTGCAGAGGCCCGACAAGTGAAATAAGTCATATTATCTAAATGTTATTCTTTTTAGACAATTTCAGTCCTAGGTCAAGATCAGAATTTGGACTTCGATGCTATGTCTGAGTTTTTATTCTCTCATTTCAACGTTGCTTCTGATTAAGGGTTTAGAGTTAGTAGAAAGTGTTACTGCTTATAGGATTGGGACTGTTTTACAGATCCGTGTAGGATAAGTTCCATGGATGGCGTTTATGTGATAAAATAAGCAGAGCCAAGTAAAATTGGGAGAATGACAACCATAATATATTAAATGAAAATTTTTCTTTACTTGAAATAAATTAATACATACTACATTTGATATTATAGGTGGGAACTCTAACAAATCGTTTGTTTTAATGATGGCTTGCAGGTTAGGGAGAAGCTCAGTGGTGCAGAGTATAAAGACTTTGTGAGCTATATGAAAGCTCTTAAGACCAAAGCCATGATGATGAGTGAAGTTTTGCAGTCCATATGCGGGTTGTTCTCTGGACCTGAGAGGCTACCGCTCCTTAAAAGGTATTAAGCGATGTCTTAAGTTCTGATTATTAAGCCTTGTTCTTCTACAAGAATAGGGGCCTCATTACATGATGCTTTGTGTAAGAAGAAAATTGAAATTGCTGATTTTCTGACATCACCTCCACCTGCGTCTTTGCATTCCTCTTTTCAACAGGTTCAAGGATTACATTCCTGCAAAATACCATTCTCTGTATGAGCAGTATGTTGAAGAAAACAACTAAAAACTTATAGGCTGAATGGAAGATGCACTCTTAATGAGAATCTTTCAGCTTGAACACAGGTGCTTGGCACCTCTGGTTGGATATACGTTCAAGGATGTGAATAGGAATGAATGAAAATAAAAGTCATGCAAAAGGCTGGGGTAGCTGCTAGATGGGGACTAAATTAAAATGCTTTTCATACATGATCGAAGTTTCTCTTGATATTGGCATTCCATAATTGTTATTGTGGGAACGGTCCCACCGATGTCTGCTCCGGGAGAATTAAGTCAAGCTCCAAACTGTGGTGGCAACTTCGGAGGGTACAGGCACTATTTGGAGTATATGCAATGCAAGAGCGTTTATACAAGACCGCCAAAAAAAAAAAAAGCCGAGTGTTTAAAGGAATGATTCTTGTGGGGATTTTGATGATCGAATTGGTCTGCTGAGGAAAATTATCAGGTGTGAATAGTTGAAAAAAGTAGACGCTAAATCCAAATATTGGTGAAGCAGGAATTTTTGAAGAGCTGGAGCAACATGATTCAGAACAAGTCCCTATATTACCTGTCTCATTTTTGCCAAATATTTGAGATTGAACAGTGCATCTCATGGTAGGTGTTTTAACTTGTTTTATGGAGGATCTTTCGCATGTCACGAGAGATAAGTCAAACTTGGATTTTTATGGATATAATTTTCCAGTTCATTGTCAATCTTTGGATACTGAGAGATGAATTGTAGGGGAAAGGACCAACCTCCTGTTCTTTTACTCTCTTCAGGTCCAGAAAGCATTTTAAATTTAATTCGAACTTTTATTTTTAAATTGATAATGAAAACTTTTATTGTTTTTTAAATTTTATCCGAATTTTTCAAAACATTGTTTTGCGAAAAGAGCCGGGAACGTGAGGGCTGGTTTTATGCCCTGTTTGGCATGCTAGAGTAGGTCAAAATGGAAGTAGAATTCTGAAAACCCCATTTCCACCCCGCTTTCTTTCCAATTTCTACATCCTTTAAAAGCGGGGCATCGAGTTTTGACCAGCATGATAAGAAATCAATCTCTCTCGTATTCCCAACATGCGCAGCATAATGAAAGCATTTACTAGTTAATGGAGATCAACACATGAAGCATTGGTCCCAATTGCACGGTCAATTTGATGGACAAGAAGATATTAGCAAGGGAAAATCGTAAATAAAGATCATGGAATATGAGAAATTACAAATAGCGACCCATTACAATATCATTATGGGCTTTGACAATAATAGTATAGCTTTTGATAATAATTTTAATAAATAAGTCCTTATCTATAATTTTTCAAATTTCACAGTCTTTATTTGTGATTTTTTCTATTATTAATTGAAGAAGTCTACTTATTTATAATCCTTAATGAGAATTGTATGAAATGATCAAGGAAAAAGAACATTGTAAAATCAATCCTCTTGTACTACCTATGGTCCTAACATAAGAGCTAGTAAAGAGGCTTTTTTTAATCCTTGATATAAGACTATAATCTACTAACCCCTAACCCCTAAACCCTAAACCCTAAACCCTCCTATATTTATAATTCTCTTTTCAAACTCTCCTTGCACATATTAACAAGTATTCATCTAAGAAAATTAATACGTATTTTTGTAAATAATTAACTTAACTAATTTTTTTTAATCTTTATAAATTAGTTAACTAACTATATTTAGATCAGCCAATCAGAAGTAGTATTGTCTTGGATATTGCCTGATTCCAGTGGCGAGGAAGTTTTGCTTTAACCATTAATGAGCTAGCTTCCACTTGATTTTTTTTATGGCATGCCAACACGAGGCTCTATGCAATTTGTTTCTAAGCACTCTTCTCCATCTCTTTATCTTCATTTTCACTCTCTACTAAGGTGATAGAAATATTGGTAAGAAACGTGACAGAAATATTGGTAATAAAATTCTATTCATTTTATTAACTCCCAATCCGAGTAATATGATGGGATTTTTTCAAAATGAAAATATGTATATATCTTAAAAAGTCATGTTCTTATAAATTAGAAGATTTTATATATAAAAAAAAAGATTGCAGGGAGTGACAACATTAAAAGTCACCGAGATCATGAGTTCATGATACCTAAAAGCAAGTGCTAACATAGTAAAGGGTAGCACTCTTCATATAAAACTAATAACCATTGGTTATTAGAGCTATATAGGGCTATGACTTTTTAATTAAAAAGTTGTTTAAAGTCATCTCGTACTATTTTTTCCCCCCCTTTTAATCTCTTTGTGTGCTCTACAAACAACCATTGACACCAATATGATTTATAATGGATCCATATATGCAAGAGGGAATGAAACTCACATTGACCAAAATATGTCCATGAGCCAAGTAGCGAAGGTAAATGTTCAAAGACCATATAATAGTTATATAAAAATGGTTAATTATCAAAGTGCCTTTCGTAATCTTAAATGGGATCAATCCATGGACTTCTTTGAATTGGGGTCTATTCCAAAATTTATACATAATTGAATTAATCAAATATATATCCTAAGTTCCTAACCTTATATGGTTTATGTAATTAAACTTAATCCCTTTAAATATAAAGTGCTGAGCATAATTATTTAATGATAGTTGTAGTTTGGCGGTTAATTTTGAATATAATTATATTTAATTATCTACTCTTTTATTTAATTACCACATGTTGAAATGGAATTATAATTAAGCAAGAGCCAGTGAGTTTATAGTTTAATTTCCAGTAGGACAAAATCAAGAGAGGGACATTGTTTTTGGATGGAAGCAATGTTAGAGAGTTTGGGAGTTCATAGTAAATAGAATAGCGGGGAACATGCGTTAGACAGTTTCAACATCAATAACAGTAATCTCTCACAGAAAACCACAACACTAAAAAATAAATAACCTCTGAACATTTAAAAATATTGATATTTAATATTTAACTTCCTTCTTACTCCAAATCCTACAATACTACTCGCTGCATGTGATGCCTACATAGGAAAATGCCAAAATCTATTCAAACCCAATATTTTTTTACATTTATCTAAATTGTTTAAATTAAGTTTATATAAGGGGATTAAGGTGTAAATATACCCTAAAACATTTCTCTACATGCATCTAACATAATACAGCTTTTATAGATGCAACAATACATATGAACGTTCTAAAATGAAGCAAAGTGCCATGTATACTAAATATATAGTAACATTGACATTAAAGCTGGTAGGGTTCAACTACACCACATTAACGAATTTTAACGGGCACATCACATAGCGTATTTACTTCATTTGAGAACGATTATTTGTATTGTTGTATCTAACAAAAATTAAATATTTTATGATGTCTGATATATATTTATATAACCAATAAACTGTTAGTTACAGTGATAAACAACCTTATCTTCATAAAAAAGAAAATATAAGTTCAAATTTTGTAAAGCGTATTTGTTTGGAGAAGTGAAAACTCTCTGTGTTTTAAGTTTCGAAAAAAAAAAACCCTTGATCAAATAAAAAAAAATACATATATTTAAAATTCAAAAAAAGCATATAAACTCTTTGTCTGTGTGGAGGAATACAGCACAGGTAAGATATTCACATTAATCTTATATAATTCAAAATATGTTTTACTTTCTTAATAAAAAATTAATATTTAAACTGAATATCAAATTAGTTTTAATTATTAATTTAATAATACTTTTAATACTCAAACCTTTTAGTTTAATTCAGGCAATAATATAGTGCCGAATTGATGAGCAGCCTATATTTAGTTTATAAATCTTATTTTTTGTACTAATTTTTGGTAAGTTTTAATTCTCTGAGTCAGAAACGTATATATAAATAGGAATAAATAAAATTTAAGAAAATAAATATTTAAAGCAAACAGAATTAAAATACATTTTCTGTTTTTTCCCCCTCCCCTCGGGTCGATCAAAATATTTTGTGGACCCAAATCTGACGTTGCTTTCTTTTTCATCTTCTTCTCCGTGACGCCCTACCGATCCTCACCGTTCGAACGCTTCGCGGCAGTGTCGCTGGTACTGTCTCCGATCTCCGACGCATACCGGCGATGACATCCACGAAAGCACTGAGTATGAACTTATGCGATTTCTTCTCGTTCAAGTTGAGGTAACAAGACAAAAGCTCTTCCATGAAATCCCAATCCACCCTTTCGTGATTATTCAACCTCGCTTCCACCATATCCTGCATGGACCGCCGGAAATCGTCGTACGGCTTCGGCGAGTGCATCAAGACGGCGATGAAATCCCGAGGAATCGTCTCCACGGCCTGTCTTTCACGATCATCATTAGATAAATTCGGATAATCATTGAGGGTTGTGGTCGAGCTCGAGCTTGAACCAGCCTCGTCGTCGCATGTTGTCGCCATGCTCAACCTCGCTGCAGCATCCTCGACCAGAGAGCCAGAAAAACCCGGCGTCACGAAGAACCGGTTGGAACCACGAAGATCCGGCGGGAGGCCAAGGTCGAGACGCGGCGAGTCAAACAAAATCGGGTCTAATTTCGGTTGAGTAGCTTCAATAATCTCTTGTTCAGATTCTGCGTTTCTCTCCGTTTCTTCATCATCTTCTCTGAGATAAAGAGACTTGAAATTCTCAAACAGAAAGCGATCAACATCAGATAGAGAGGCAGCATCGTCATCGTTTTGAGCTTGCGCTTCATTTCTTCGATGATCAACGTCGATAGACAAGGTTTTAGGGTGCTTGCAGGCAGAGAAGATCCAATTTTTGGAAGAAGAGAAATTGATTTGGGGAGTAGGGTTTCGTCTGAGCTTGGAGATGTAGCCATGGAGGGACCTTTGAAGCTTCTTAGGCATGATTGATGGCACTTGACAAGCTTGACGAGGTTCAGACGACGATGATTCAGCATTATTACTGGAGTGTGGTTTTATATACACAGAGAAGGACATGGAAGGAAATTAAATTAGGAAGGTAAGGAATTATCAAAATTAGGTTTATAATTAGGGTTTATGTCGAATGCTCAAAAAGCAACAAGACAAGGTGGGGAGAAATTTGGTGTGAATCATGATTCTTGACCTAATTCCAATAAAAACTGGCAATGGGATTAAATGGAGGGCTGTAATTGGTTTTGACCAAATTATGAGGAATTTTGGAGACTAAATTGGAAATGTTTTCTTGGTAAGCATGGTCAAAATTACAATAAAATATGTATTTCTGTGTGTGTGTGTGTGTGTGAAAATGATTTGAAAAAAAAAATTGTAAGATAAGAATAGCTTCCCAGATTTGTTAGGGTGGCCTTTTATGTATGAACTTGATCTGAAACTTATAGGGGTGAATAATTAATGGTGAATTTAATTAGTAATACTACTATATTATAAACGTTACATGAGTTTCTTTTTGATTTTGTGGGTTATATGACTGTTATGAATTAGTCGGAGTTTGGAAGTGAATCAAGGTTGAGTAGGCGGTTAAATTTTGGTCAATATTTATCTTAATTTTACAAATAAATGAGTGATTAAGCGGTTTTATTAATTGTTTCCTTCCTAAACAAAGCGATTAGCATTATTTCATTGTAGTTTGTATATGCTCATTGTAACTTAATTCCCCCCTTAAAAAAACAGTATACAGCCTTGTCTTTTCTTTCTTTTCTTGTTTTTTTTTTTTTCAATTTTAGCTTCCTGCATTTATTTTTTTTATACTTTTAATATCTATTTATATATTTTTATCGGATAGTAACTGTTGGGAAGATAAATATAATCTTGGAAAAGTTGTTGTTTTATTATACCTTCCTGGCATTAGACAGGGAAAAAGATGCCCCTCGTAAGATTGAACGGCGATTTTTTATCCACTTTTTTCCTGTTAGGATATGTATATGACTTATTAAAATAAATAATAATATAATCCAATTATGACTATGTTTATCAGATATGAAGTTATTATACAAATTATATACTTTTATATCAATTAAAAAAATCAAATATATTTTAGGCAAAAAAGTAGTATAAATAATACTATCTCGTTCTTAATATAAAAACTAGTTAACTAATTTGAGTAATTAAGAAAACTATTTAAGTTAGTTATTTGTAATAAATAAATATTATCTTTTCTAAAATATTTTTACTAATCAAATGTATTTGTTAGAATTATAATTATTGCAAGGATCACGGTAAAAGAAAAGAATAAATATGAGAAACAAAGTGGATTGAAATATTATATTTAAAATTAAAATAAAAATTAAATAAACTTTTACATTAAAGACGGGGGCAATATACTCCTCCGGTCCTAAATATAAGACCCTTATACTAGTATGTATAAGGGTCTTACATTTAGGACCGGAGGAGTAAATAAACTTTACAAAAACCATTTAAGTTGATTATTTGTAATAAATAAATATTATCTTTTCTAAAACATCCTTAATGATCAAATATATTGGTTAGAACTATAATTATTATAAGGACCATGTTAGGAAAAAAATAAATATGAAAAATAAAATAAATAGAAATCTTATATTTAAGATCAAAATAAAAATTAAATAAATTGTTATATTAAGTACAGAGAAGGCAGTATAAATTCTAAATTTAATATTCTCATGACTATAAAATAAACATGGACTCAAGGTTTCGTTGATTAACGTTGGAACGGTGACAAGGCCGGTCAAATTGCAGCGAGGTTGCGTGCAGCTTAAGGCTTTGTTTGGTTGGGGTTTTTTTGAGGGGGGTGAGGGGAGGGGAGAGGAGGCGGATGGGAGGATGTGTTTGGTTGGGAGGAAGGGAAGGGAGGGGAGCTAAAAAAATTTGTCCTTTTGTGCTCCCCTCCCCTCCCCCTCCCCCTCCTCCCCTCCCAAATTGGAGGTTTTTGGAGGAGAGAGAAATATTATGAGAATTTGGATAAATATGTCCATGTCATTTTTTGAATATTCCAGTGGTGCCCTCTTATTATTTTTTTGGTTTCGCATGATTACCTTTGCATTCCCCTTCGCGGTCGCTCAGTTATACACACACAAAAATATAATATGCATATATGTTAATATATTAATTAATTATTGAAGTTAACTTGCCCTTAATTTGTCGCTTTGGGATTACTCCAAAAATTAACCGAATTAATACGATATAGTGCACAATCCAGGTCGTATTCACTTTGAGGAGCCGAAAACGAAATTAAATCTTAGTAAATAAATGCAAGTAACCTAAACTATAAAAATGATTTTTAATTTGATAATTGCTAAGTAAATATCTTGAATTAAATTGAAATTAAAATACTTTTTTTTGTTTTTATATAAAAATGATTAAAATGAATGAAGATTAAAGAAATGAAAATGAGACACACAAGTAACAATGATAATAATCAATCCTCCAATTCAACAACGCAGGCAATCCTCACTCCAAAAGATACGGGAGTTAAAACAATGAATTAAGAATTATAATTAAACTTTTAATCCAACAACCGAGCCACCTCGAGTTGTCACAAAATATTTTCCTAAAATCTCAACTTACTAACTGCAACCAGAATAATAAAATGGGATTAAGGATGCTAAAAACCAGTACCTAATTAGAACTCTTAAATCCAAAATAACAGAATTAAAGCTAGTAAGAGACTATATGATCCAAAATTCCAAGCCATCTTAGAAAATCACAATATATTAACTCCAAAATCAATACAAATGTCATAACCACAACATCATAATTGAAATCAAAATTATAAACAGCCCAATGTCAAATGCTAAACAATAGTCCAGTCACAATAATCCCCAAATATAATCAGATTAAGCAATACAATTATCCCAATAATCAGAAAAACTATCCTAAGACCCGGAATTGTTAAACAATTATTGAATAGGAAATTAAAGCAACTAAAACTCTCTTTTAATGATCTGAGCTCCTGTCATTATTGTTGAATTAGAGAATTATGAACCTTAGCCACGGATTGCATTAGGAATGCCATATTCAATACTTTATTGCAAGCTTCCATGGAAGAACAACAGCGTGAAGAATGCAGCGTGAATCCTTTCCTCCGTCGTCAAGCTCGTGCTGTCCAGCTGCTCTGTTCTGTTCGCTGATCTGGTTCACGTCTCTGTTTGCTGTCGCGCCTCCTCTTTTGATTCCAGACGGAGGAGAAGAATGGCTCAAGGCTGAGCCCCCGTCGTCGCCCTCTGGTCCTTCAGTCTCGCCGTCAGCTCGCTGGAGATGATGATGAAGAGTGTGTCGCTCGCCTCCCCTGTTCGCGTTTCTTCTTTTTTTCTCGCCGCCCCAGCTCGTTCAGCGTCGCGTGTGCCGCCTCCTCTGTTCCGCTTTCGCCAAGATGAAGAAGAAGATTGTAATATTAGATATTAGGGGTGGAGCAAAACGCAGCGTTTTGTTTCCCTCTTTTATTATTTTATTATTTTTATTTTCTTCCTTTTTTTTTTTTTTACTTTCAAAATCTTCCAAAAACCTGCAAGCAAAAATTTAAAGATAAGGTAGCATTAATTGTCCTCAAAAATCAATTAGTCATAATTAAACCAAAATATGACAATTTTGCCCTTATAAAATAATAATTCAAAATAAAACATATTAAATCAATTAATCAATCAATTAAGGTCAAAAGGGACTAATTAAGTTGACAAAATCCATATAAAAGATATCAAAATATATAAAAATAATTGAGTTTGTCGACTCCCCCACACTTAGCCTTTTGCACTCCTGGGCAAAACATCATTAAAGAAGAATCCAATAGAGACACTTAATGCAAGCAAACATAAAACTAACTAAGCATGAATGTGCAATTAACTCAAACAATCTTTATTCTTAATTAATCAACAATCATAGAATACTTCAGTGCAAAGAAATTAACACAAGAAACATAGCAGGATAAAAGAAGAGAAACATAATAAAGCTCACATATGATACAAGTGTTTCACTCATCTCTCAAATCGGAAAAATTTCACTCAATCCAACTAGATTAGCACCTACCATAAGCTTGTAGAAATTCTAATATCTCCACCACTAACATACCTTAGGTTCATGATCAAGGGGACTTGAAGGGTTGTAATATCGAAAAACAAGGCCAAATGAATGAATGGACTAACAAGTGAAATGCATGAGTAATAAAGTATCAACTCAAAGTGAAAGAAGCGTAGATGGTAGGGCCTAAGAGAATCAGAACTTTCATCTGGCTGGTTTTAACTACTACCTCCTGTCTTTAATATAAGATCTCGTTTGACTTTTATTTTGGTCTTAAATATAAGACCCTAATCCACTTTCTCTCTCATATTTATACTTTTTTTTCCAAAGTAACCCTTCTAATAATGATAGTTCTAGTCAATACACTTGATTCACAAGGATATTTTAGGAAAGATAACACCTATTTAGGACAAATAACTAACTCAACTTATTTCCTTAATCTCCTCAAATTAGTCAACTGGCTCTTATAATTAGGATTGGAAGTAGTAATTAATACTACATCCTCTACTTAATTAAGAAACTATTTAATTTTTATTTTGGTTCTAAATATAAGATTCTGATTTATTTTGTTTTTCATATTTATTTTTTTAGCATTATTTTTGTAATAATAATAATTCTAACCAATATATTTTATTAGTAATGATATTTTAAAAAAGATAATACATGTTTATTATAAATAACTAATTTAACTAGTTTTTTTAAAAAAAAAGTTATTCAAATTAGTAGTAGGAGAATCTTAACCAATGTCAATGCCGAAGACACATGGCTTAGTCCAACTCTTGGGACTCATGCAACAATGGAACTGAGGATCTTGACCACGTAGTCAGAAATAGAGGTGGGAAAACAGGCTAGCAATGTGGATACAGGCCAGCTTGCACCTTGACGGGCTTGTATTTTGTCGGCCCGAGCCTGCCTTAATTTTTTTAAAATTTTTTTAATAAAAAACTATTATTATTGTATGGGTTGGGCTTGGTTTAAAATGTTAAAATCGGGTTTGAAATCTTGAATTTGAGTAGTGGGTTATAATAAAATCATGTGAAGATTAATTTATAATCTAAGAAGATATTTTTTAAAAAAATAACATATTTTTTATAAATAATTAATTTAACT